TATGATCATGGAAGTGAACTCTGGGTAATGGATTTCAGTTTCTAAAATCTTTTCGTATTATCTAATTTTTTTGCATTAAGGATTACTATAATAATCAGAGAAAAATAATAAAACTATTTCTAGTTTGGAAAAGAATACCTGTACCCATGTATTTTTTAAAGTGAAATTGGCATTTTTTCATATTCTACCATTAAGAATGAAAATTGATTCAATTGTTTTGGAAAATAATTTGTCAACGTATATATCCAGAGAATAAAATGTTCGCAGTTGCACTAAATTATTCCACTCTTGGAAATCTATACTAGGGAAATAATCCCAAGGGTAGAAAATATTTTTCATGTATGCACTGAAGTGTGTATGGTTCTGGGTTTTTTTTTACATTAATGGTATAGAAATGATTTAGTAAACTTATGCATTCACAGGGTGAAATCTTCGGCAGCAGCTTTCAATATTGATTATCAAGGTCATTTAATAACTGGGAAAACTGCTTTTATCATGTAACGAACATTTAATAATAAAAACTCTCCCTTACCTCCCACACAAAACAGATGAAAACTGCAAAGGGAAGAGAAGGTTATTGAACTAGAAAGTGCTTTTTATGTTACTGTATTATATGAAAAAAACAAAAACAAAAACAGCAAATTGTATGGCCTGAACTACGTAAAACTATGTGTTGCTAAAATAGTAGAAGAAAACAGTGTATGTCAAAATGTTCAGAGGTTATCACAGCATAATGAGATCATAGGTAAATTTTTCATCTTTATGCTTTTTCTGTTTTTCAGGATCTCAGCCAAGTTACGTTTTTCATTTTCTTATTTTGTTTACGATGTAATTGTCCTATCTTTAGGGCCCAGGAAATGCATAGAAAGGGAAAACAAAGTTAGTTTTACTTACTACATCTCTGTCCTTGTTACTTTTGACACAACTTATTCTAAAATTCATGGTAACCGAAGATTTAATTTTTTAAGTCCGTAATTTAGAATTCACTTGAGTCTTAACATTAGATTGTTATTTTAAAAGGTGAAGTTGATTTAAATTGTGTTTAAAATGACTTAGCTAGTATCTTTTGCTTTCCTGCCATTCCACCAGTGATGAGTAATTGACTGATGACAATATTCAGTTGGATGTAGGGAACAACAGAGCCCTCAGAAGGCAGGCTGGTGTCCTCTTGTGGCAAGTGTGCAGGCTTCCACCCCTACCCCATATGTAAAATAGCGTGCTGATGGTTGCTAATAACTTCACAGGGTTTCACCGAAAATCAAATTTTGTGGAAAGTACTTGAAGCCCACAACATACAACAGAAGAATAATATCATGTAATATATAAATACAAATACAAAAATATAACGTAAAATAAGCTGTAATATAATCCAATGTATTTGGAAAGCTTCAAAAATCTTCATTTTGCAACATGATCTATGTTATTTTATGGTGATGATATGAAAACATTTATGACAGATGCTTTTGGGAAGTATCAATTATTAGATATTAGATATTCACTGACAATTCTTGGGCTGATGCTGGTATCAAACAGAGACCATAATATTTTTCTGAATTTTATTAATTTAAAATAGCATTTATAATGATCTGAAAAAAATTAGAACATATTTATAGAAGAATCTTATTCATAGTATTCAAGGTACATTATTTCTTTCAGCCAAATTTCATCACATTTTTCTGTTAATATTTAGACAGAATAGTAGAAATTAAGTCTCTAGGTACTCCTTAAAATTGTCCAGCTTTGTAAGGTAGCACTTCAGTTTAGCATTTAGATTTGGTTATCATCACAATAACAATGTTTCATTGTTCTAATCAAATCAAACAGTTTGATATAAATTAGATTTCAATTTGATTTTGTTTAATCTTGTCCAGGTGAATTATAACCATTTCTTTAAGAGCATAGTATTTCAGTGCTAATGGCTCTGTTAAAAGTGTGAAATTCAAACATTCCTTATGTTTTGATGACTTTTGAATACATCAAAAGTCTTCAAGAAACTATATTTTGTACAATAAAATGCTCACAATAAATATAATAAAGAAGAAAAATAAAATTATATTGCTTGGCACATTTAAAATGTTATCAGTTTAAGCATGCTGTGGATACTCTGGTTTCTCTTCAGATCATATAAATCTTTCATCTTTCAAGCATGCTGTGAATATAAATAAGCCTCCTCTACTACTAAAGCAAATGCTATTATAATTCTTTTTCAAGTTAAGATGTATTTTGTAAACCAAAACAACAACAAAAAAACCTATAAGAATGGCAATGAATCAATTGTGCACACCGAAACTGAAAAAATAAATTATTTTTAATTAACAAGGGATATAAACATGAACCAGAGAAGAATGAAATTATTTTTTATAATTACAAAGCCATTCATAGCTGCAAAGATCACTAATGCAGTCCTGCATAAATTTCCAATGCTCATTTCTGTAACGCAGCTCATATTCCAGCGTCACACAATTCCCTAGAACTCATGGATCCATGGCGCATCCAATATTATCTCACTTACTCATGCTGCCTTGAAGCTAACAGAAAAAAAGAAAAATGGATGCAATCTGACCAGAATCATAAGTGATCCAATTATTAGTACAATTTCTGTGTATTGATGGTAGCCTTCCCCAACTATTTCATTTTTGTAGAAATTCCTCCACCATCTGTTATTTTAGTGTTAAAAGTAGTGAATCCCCACCTTCAATGTGCATCAGAATCTCCTAGAGGATCTGTTAAAATGCATTTGCCAGGGCCCCATCCTATTCTGATCCACAATGTTTAGGGTGGGGTTTGGGAGTGGGAATTTCATTACAGGCTGTATTAGTTTGCTAGGGCTGCCATAACAAAATCCCTCTGAGTGGGTGGCATAAATTACATAACTTTATTCTCTCACAGTTCTGGAGGTTAGGAGTCCAAGATCAAGGTGTCAGCAGGGTTGGTTTCTCCTCAGACCTCTTTTTTTTAGCTTGCAGATGGTCACCTTCTCGGAGTGTTGTAGCATGGTCTTTCCTCTGCACACACACCCTGGTGTCTCTTTGTGTGTCCAAATTTCTTCCTTTCATAAGGACACCAGTCAGATTGGATTAGGTCACACCCTGAATGCCTCGTTTTAATTTAGTGACCTCTTTAAGGTCCCTATCTCAAAATATAGTCACAGTCTGAGGTACTAAAGATTAGGGCTTCAACATACGAATGTGGGGTGAACAATTCAGCCCATGTGTCCTAGCATTTCCGATGCAGGTGGCTCAAGGATCATAGCCAATTAACTAAATACCAATTTAGTCTCTAGGTCAACTAATTGTGCACTCACCTCAATCATTTAGTTTATGTGGCTTAAAATATGTAACCTCTTCCAGCCAGGTCTTGTTCTTTTACTCCAAAAAAAATTATCATTTGGTTTCATTGTCTCCCATGCTACATAAAAATAGCCTCTCCCACCCATCCAGTTGATCTCTTTCTCCTCTGCTTTATTTCTTTGCTTCACACTTATCGCCACCTGACATAATGTCTGTTTTCCTTACTAGAATGTAAGGTTTACTTTGTTTTGCTCATCCCTGTATCCTCAATGTGTGGAACAGTGACCCAGGAAGGGAGAATGGCCTCGAGATGATCTCGTATGCCTTCTGTGAAGTAAAAGGCATGGTCTTCTGATGAGGAGCTGGGGAAGTGGTATGGAAGGACTGAGAAGAATTAAGGTTTAAAGATCCTTTATGCAGAATGGGAAAGAAAGATGAGGGGGAATTCAAGAAAAGGGGCTGGGCAGCGTTTAGAACCCAGCTAGATGTGGAGCCCACGAATGTCTCCTGTCTGCACTGTTGTGTGATTTCCAGCAGCTCTCACAGTCTGGACACGGGCAGTGAGGGCAAAATGGTTACGATTCCTCAATGACCACCATTGCTCCTTAGCATAACATTTTAGCCTCTTCACAATAAATCCCTATTTACCTTACCTACGTATTCCTCAGCTATGCCAATTTTCTTTTTCTTCATTAAACATCTTTATATCTTGGCTTTGTTAGTGCTATTCCCTTTGAATTCCCACCCTTCCCCTGGCTAACTTTTGTTTGTCCTTTAAAGACTCAGCTCTGATACGTTTTAAAAATGTTCCCCAATTTTCTCAAATATTAGCCATAATGCTATGATCATACCTCTTTTAAAGAACATGTTCTTTGGAATACAGACATAGGTTCAAGATGAAGCTGTCATTTTTACTGTGTAGTCTTCAGTAAGATACTAAACATTTTTGTCCTCCAGTTTCCTTATCTGTAAAATGGATAGAATAAGACCTATTTCTGAGAACTACTTGAAATGAGATAACGTACCTAGAGCACCTGGTACATAATTGATCAGCAAAGAGTGCTATTATTGCAATTATTTGCATGTCTCCCTCTCTTAAAAGTTCTTTAAAAGCAGGGATCATACCATGTTCATCTTTTTATCCTTAAACATTTGCCACTGTGGCTGGCACACTAGATTCTCCAGAATTGTGGAATAAATGAATGATTAATGGAATGAAATAGATAGTTGAAGATGCTACTAGGGTATATGAGTTTACTCCTGACTTAAAATTACAGCAAAGAAAGACCAAAGACTTGGGAATGTACACGACAAACTGCACAGGGAAGAGTCAGCTTTGGTAATGACTGAAAAAAAGTTTCTTCAAGGAAATAGGGTACGCACAGAAATATCAAAAACTGAAAGCCATTATACTGGTACGCAAAACAGATATGGACCTTCTACTCATGGAGCTTACAGTCGAGTAAGATACACTGTCCTACCACAATACTCAATGCATACACACTAATTACCACATTTACTGAGATTCGGCCTTCTTGTCTCTCTCAATGGAATAAACTTTCAGAAAAGCCGTTTCCTATTTAACTTTGAATCTCCAACACTCAGCAGTGTTGGATTCACAGCTGGAGCTCAATCAATGTTTAGGGAATGAATGACGTAGTACACAAGGAAGCGAAGCAACTAGTAGCCCTAGTGGAACTAGGCACTTACTGCGTTCTCGGAGGTCCTTTCCACCATGCGAGAAGCAGAGAACTCACTCCCCCAATGGAGCAAACTCATCCCTAAATCTTGGGTTTCCCACCTTAGAATGTGCTGGGGAAACAGGCGCGAGGCCCGTGACGGTAATCTCTTTGGACTTCAGCGACCCCAAAACTTGGTCTGATAAAGCATCCACAGGAACTAATTGCAATATACACGTGACTTAAACCTCCTCCACGACCTTGAGACTGCTGGACCAAACCTATTTAACTATCTCAGTGCGCACCAGGTCCCGCCCCCCGATTCTAAACTAGCCAATCCAAACTTCCGATCGGTAGCGCGGTGCCTTCCGGGATTCGTAGTCACCCCAGGTTAGCTTTCTCTCCAGGTCACGACTACAATTCCCGGGGGCCACTGGGCTCAAAGTCGGCCCTCTTTCTGGGGCGGAGTTCAGAGCGCACGCGGAGGGGTGCGGCTCCCGTCCCTCCCCCACGTGGCGGAGAGTGGTGTGGAGGGTCCCGCTGGTGATCCCCACGGGGTGCCGTGACCCGGTAGCCGGCTTTGGTCCTCGCTGACGTCGTGGGCCTGTGGGCCCGTGGGCCCGCCGCCTGCAGAGATGCCGAAGATCAAGTCGGGGGCGAGCGGCCGTCGCCGCGAGCGGCTAGAACAGCGCCAGGAGCTGAAGAGCGCCGGAGGTGGGGACAGCCCGGAGGGAGCTGGGGTCGGGTGGAGTCTTCCGGCAGGACCTAGCCGGGATCGCGGACCGAGATCCGGGCCGGGACGGTGAGGCTGGTCGGGGCCCGCTCTCTCGGAGCGCGCCCGTCCCGGGGTGCCTGGGGCGCCGGCCGCAGGCCCTGCGCGTAGCCCTCTGGCTTCCTTTCCAGCAGAAGGGATGGACTTAAACAGGGTGTCAGTCCCAGCTCCAAGCGTGACGTTTGGTGCTTCTTGTTGGCGCAGAAATCCGCCCACCAACCTGCTTTCTTTGAGATGGTCTAATATCTAATTTTCGTTGGGAAATTGAGGCAGTTTCGTGTTTTCTTTCAGGACTCATGTTCAACACGGGGATTGGACAGCACATTTTGAAAAATCCTCTCATTGTTAACAGCATTATCGATAAGGTGGGTGTGGAAGAGGGAAGATAGTTATTGGGTTATTGCTTTTATTCTTAGGAATACTTAGGCACAGAGAAGATGCCTGCACAAAATAAATACTCTGTAATTGTTGAAGAATTGCCTAGGATTCACAAGCTGTCTTCAGCATGATTTGCTTCATTCCGTGGGTCTGGGTTTCTACTGGCTCCTAATTTTTTTTCTTTCTATAGATTATTTACTTCATAGCTGAATATTTGTTCAGTTGCAGATTATTACTATATTCCCAATCACTTTTCTAAGCACCATCTATGACTGTTAGTTTTTATTTACTCCATAGACTAAAGATATGTCTAAACAGACAGGAAGTTTGTTCCCCCCGAGAAACTTATATGGTACAATCCAGCTCCACATATAGATTCTTTGTAGTATTCCTCCTGTGTGGGTTATTGATGTTCTCTTATTGTTGCAGAGGATTGGCTGTTAGGACTTGAAATAGAGGTGGTGCAAATTACTTTCATGGCTACAAAGGAAGCACCCTAGGGTTATAGAAAGAGCATTACATAATTAAACGATCTCATCTTGACTTCCTATTGTTTGAAAAATGAAGGTTTTTGCCTTTTTGGTTCATGGATTCCTTTGAGCATCTGAAGAAAGCTGTGGAGCCAGAATAACGCAGCTGTGTGCATACCAACACCCAGTTTTGTGTACAATTTCTGGGTATTTCATCATCCCTGAAACCATGCATGGATTGAAAATTGAGAAATCCTGGTATAACATGCTATGATTCTCAGGCAAGGTTGTTATTTTCCAGTTTGAGTTGGTAACAAGATGGCTGTTGGAATTGTTTCCAAGGTAGAAAGCAAAATGCCAATCCCGGAAAGAACTGCTGTTCAGCTTTTCTGACGCCTAACATTTCCTGACTCCTAACTATTGCCCCAAGTTAGGAGAGGTGTTAGATTTCCACTTGCACCAAATGTTAATGGGATAATTTTGTTAAACACGTAGATCATGAAGAAATCTCCTAAAATGGAGTCAGAATAAAATTTCTTAACCAAGTGCTGGTGAGTAAAGATGTTCAGGTGTAAATTAAATTGTGTGTTCATATGTGCCAGTAAAGCTAAAGTGGTTGTGTTTGCTTGTAGGCTGCCTTAAGACCAACTGATGTGGTGCTGGAAGTTGGACCTGGAACTGGCAATATGACTGTTAAGTTGCTAGAAAAGGCAAAAAAGGTAAAAAGAAGATTTAGCGTTTGGTATCAGAAATGACTGTGTGAGTAAGCTCAGGTGGTTTACAAATATAAATTTATTTTAATTAATTGCTATTATTTTAACAGTAACCCTTATTCTTTTGCTAGAAACTTTATCTTAGAAAATATGGGTGAAATGGGTGAAGGTGGTCAAAAGATATAAACTTCCAGTTATAATAAATAAGTCCTGAGAATGTAATGGACAGCATGGTGAATATAGTTAATACTGTATATTTGAAAATTGTTAAGAGAATAGATCTCAACAGTTCTATTCTCACCACAAGACAGAAAATTTGGTAAATGTGTGATGATGGATGTTAACCAGAGTTATCTTGCAATATATACATATATTATTACATTATGTCCCTGAAACTAAAATAATGTTATATGTCAATTACATCTCAGTTTAAAAAAAAAATGGATTAAAAGAAAAAAAACATAGGATGTATCAGTCAGGAAAACAGAAACCACATTAGATATTTCAATACAGAGAAAGTAGTATAGGGAATAGATTTCCTGGTTGTGACAGGAGTAAAAGAATAAAATGAGAGTTGAGGTAACTCAAGAATAATAATTGCAAAAATCAGCTACCAACACGAGTCCCAGGGAAACAAAGTAAGGAGGTTGAAATTATTGGAACCTAAAACTTTGGAGGAGGAGATATGTAGAGCTGGAGCACAGGCCTCAGAGATGGGGTGCCACCTTGCTGCTGCTGGTACTTTCATTGGATGACCCAGTTTCCACTTCAGTGGAACCATTGTTGTGTCATCTGGTGGAAGTAGGCAGCACATTTTAAAGAACTTATCTGAAGAAAGTTTAATGAAGATAAAATTTATAAAATGTGGGAATGAGGTTAAAGAGAACCAGTAAGAATTAATGAAACACCCAGGGACTAGCAACAACAGGTACAGTTACCATCCAAAGCCTCAAGGACAAGAGGAGGGAACCTTGTTACAGAGCCATTGAAGAGGGGCCACTCATAGGGGAGCATAGCCACTGCCAGGACATCTGCAAGGTATGGGCAGGCATTAGGAAATTCTCAATCTCTGTCCTTGCTCCCATAATGCTGGCCAGTTATGGCCAATTCCAACCAGAAGTCAAAGGGCAAGGGCGTTGGACTACACCCTACAGGGCACAGAGAAAGCTGAGAAAGGACCCAGGAGCCAAACAGACTAAGCAGCACCTATATCTACTCTGTAGACATGGTCTTCCTTGAAATCAGTGAAACCTCAGCTGATATTGAATTAAAATTAACAGTTTCAGCCTTATCTGGTATCCCTTCTCATTACTTGAGAAGTTATCTTTGCTGTGTATTTTGGACTTAGCAAATGAGAGAAATGATATACTCATTCTAGGAGCAGTTGTCTTGTATGTTTCTGTCTAAGAACATTTACTATATAGACATTTTGTGTATTTTTTTCACCCTCTGTTCACCTACAAAGCATGAAGCCAGATGAACATGAAAATTCTGCCAATTGTTTAGGTAGAACTATCACATAGTCTAGTTGTCCACTTTTTTGGGTGGCATTTTTTGTTGTTTGAAATGATAGACAATAATTGAAGGAATACTGATGGTAGAATTGGGGAAAAGAAGTTTAATACATGTAAATCATGTTAAGTGTTACTATTGAGATAAGAAAAGTCTAATACTCCATAATTACCCTATTATTATTTTTTTAATTTAGGTAATTGCCTGTGAACTTGACCCAAGGCTAGTAGCTGAACTTCACAAAAGAGTTCAGGGCACGTGAGTATTCATAATAAAATTAAAATGCATTTCTTTTTTTTCTTTAAGATTTTTTTTTTTTTAATTGGGGAATTGGTAAAGGGAACCAGCCAAGTTGTTGTTCTTCACTCTTCAATGTGGAGGGCGCCAGTCGCCATCTGGCTGCCTGTCGGCAGCTTGTGGCCTCTAAGCTCAAGGTGCTGTGTTCAATCTTAGTTTCAGGTGGGCTTAGCCACCATCTCATGTGGGAGTCAAACCTGCAGCCTTGTTGTTAAGAACGCACGCTGTATCCACTGAGCCATCCGGGCGGCAGCTCAGCTCAAGGTGCCGAGTTCACTCTTTAGTTGCGGATGGGCATAGCCCACCATTGAACAGGCAGTCTTGTTTTTACACCAGCTGAGCCATCCTGCCACCTGTTGGCAGCTCAGTGACGACAGCTCAGCTCGGGCGCAGCATCACTGGCCCATGTGGGAATCGAACCAGCGGCCTTGTTGCTCAGTGCTCGCGCTCATAAGCCAACTCTTAACCAACTGAGCCACTTGGCCAACCCTAAAATGCATTCAAATCTCATAAAACAATATTCTTTTTTAATTACTGTTTTCTTATTATCAGGCCTCTGGCCAGCAAACTTCAAGTAATGGTGGGTGATGTGTTGAAAACAGATTTGCCATTCTTTGATGCTTGTGTAGCAAATTTGCCTTATCAGGTATGTTTTCATATTGTTGGGAACATTACACTAAATGTTTTCTCTGGTGTGTCTTTCCCAGAAGTAACTAGTTAATTCTCTTACAGATCTCTTCTCCTTTTGTCTTCAAGCTGTTGCTGCACCGACCTTTTTTCAGGTTGGTGACAAACACCAAAGTGACTGCCAAACCTTAGAAAGATAGACAGTTTCGGCCATGGACACAGACAGCCAAAGATGAAAATTAATTCAATTAAAAAACTACTGGGCCATTTATTTTGTGGAAAATATTGACTTGTTTTTGGTGGGGAGGGTCTCAGGTCTCTCTTTTTTTCACTTGACAGAGTTACTTGGGGGAGGTGTAGTATAAGTCCTTCTTCTGAGACCAGATGACCTTCCCCTATTTTCTCATCCTCTCGCCATTAGACTTTATTACTGTATGTACAATTGCAGTGGCCTCCTAAGTTTCTAGGACTACAGTCTATACCAGTGGTTTTCAAACCGCAAGTCAAAAACTCCTTAGTGGTTATAAAATAAATTGAATGAGTCGTGATTGTTATTTTTTTTTAATGACATGGAATAGAATATATCAGAGGGCATTCACTGCATGTAGTCCAGGTGATTACAGTTTTATAAAAGTTTTGTTTATATAAACACATACATACAGATATTTGTGGCGTGGGTTGCAATGTCAAATGCATTTCTTAGTGTGACTTACAGTTTAAAAAAATTGAAAGTCGAAACCCAGCTTTGTCGATGATCTTCTCCTGTTCAAAAGCCTCCAAAACCTCCCCATTGCTTGCTGAATAAAAAATCCATGTCCCTTAACCAGTTAAATGAGGAGGACACTGACTTCACAACCTGCCTCTCCTGCCTCAGCTCTTCTTCCATAAAGGTGTTTGCTACCCCATGAATAGTATCAACTGAGCCAATTTTGTTGGTTTGGGTTTTGTTTTCCTAGAAGGGGTGATGAATTAGTGCTGCTCTGAAATACTTTCTCATCTGATCATTGAGGTCTTGCATTTGCAAGGGGTGAGAGGTGCAGCCATTATAAAATGAAAAAGCTAAATGGATCATTTTGTGGTACTGAAGCTAAGGCTGAGTCTTCTACCTTCTAACCTGCTGGACTAATTGTCATGAACCACAGTGATTCCAACTCAAGAAAGTCTATTGAAGTTCAAATACATTTATATTATAGTTCAAAGTGACCATTTTTCTTACTTCTTTCTGCTGTGTTTTCAGATGTGCTATACTTATGTTTCAAAGGGAATTTGCTCTTCGACTGGTTGCAAAACCGGGAGATAAGTTATACTGCAGACTCTCGATTAACACACAGCTGTTAGCACGTGTGGACCATCTAATGAAAGTAAGCAACTGTTACTGAAATAATGTGACTTAGCTAATCCTTGAGCATCTAGCTGTGCCCTTTGTGAGTAGAGCATAATTGATTACTAATTTCAAATTATTTTTGAGAGGACTACTTAAACATTTCTAATTCACAGGTTGGAAAGAATAACTTCAGACCACCACCCAAGGTGGAATCCAGTGTTGTAAGAATAGAACCTAAGAATCCACCACCACCCATTAATTTTCAGGTGAGGTTAAAATACTAGGTCATTCAATAAAGTGGGAAAAAAGTCCAAACTGGAAGATGTGTGTCTGTAGCTCCAGAAAAATACTGTGTCAACCTAACTGTCCTAACAGGAAACTGTTAATTATGATACACCCTTGTGATGGAATAGAGGGAATAATTTGACTCGACATAGTTGTGAAGACCACAAAAAAGCATGGAAAATGTTTCCAAAGGTGAAAAGATTAGACTGCCATTACATTTTGCTGAAGATTATAGCTATGTAAAACATGCCTCTATTTGAATAAGATGTGGAAAACAGATACAATGAAGATGGTTGTTAGAGTAATATAATAGGTAACACTTTAAAATTCTCATTTTTGTGATTTCAAAAGAGACAAAAGCTAGGTCACTTGACATAAGACCTTACTGCAATCACTTTGGATCAAAACGTGATTGCTTGTGTGGTTAATGACTGGTGGTAAATGGAATGACTTATCAGTTATTCCTTCAGCAAGCTTTAGGATATACTCCTAAATCATGTCTGTTTTGAATTATGTTCTTTGAAAATGATACTTAGGTGCCAAAATACCGTATTGTTCTTTGTTCAGATGTGAAATGATATAGTTTTTCTGATTTTTATAATTGATAAAATATTCAGTGAGGTGTACAAAAGTGTAAAAAGTATACATCTTATTTTTGCATGTGTGTCAGCCAAATCAAGATACAGAACATTTTCAATTGCTCCTTTCAGTTTTATATATTAAATGAAATAAAAAGTTTCTTTCAGTTTTATATATTAAAAGACAAAAAAAAACCTAGCCAGCCTAGGAAAGAAGTGTGATATTCTGTAAGAAAATATCCGTCTTGTTTCAGGAATGGGATGGCCTAGTAAGGATCACCTTTGTTAGGAAAAACAAGACACTGGCTGCTGCATTTAAGTAAGTATTTCACTAATTTATAATGTATGAAGGACTATTGCTTCAGATACTGTCCTTTTCCTGAACAGATATCCTATGCCTAACGATTATCCAGGTCCAGACACTTTACCTCTTTAACCGTTACTTTGAGAGGCAGGAGAATTTAATGAAGAAAGTTCCTGGAGTTGGGAATTAGATTAGGTTTTTTTGGCAAAACAAGGAAAAAAACAAAAACAGACATCTGTCTAGTTTTCCTTTTCCACACTTGTGTTAAGATTCATGCAATTTGATTAACTTGGAAAAATGTAACAGCATTTTGGGGCCTAAAATGCAAAAGGGGAAAGCCATAGTTTTAGATTTTTTTTTTTGAAGTCATGTTTTGTGGAGAGTGTAGAATTTCCTTAAGAATTTGAGATGCTCATTAGGACTTTACTTTTTTCATATAACTATGTAGTTTGTGATTGTTTCATAAATAAATATTCAACACCTTTTTTAGTTTCTTAATTTCACCATATGAAACATAGATTTAATCTTAAACTGAAGGAAATGGATTATCTCTGATTTTGGAATTATAGTGATGTCACTTTTTTATGCTACAGGTCAAATGCAGTACAACAGCTTTTGGAAAAAAACTACAGAATTCACTGTTCCGTCCATAATACTGTAAGCAGAAAATGCTTCTGTGGTTTCAATTATTTGGTGTGTTTTAAAATGTCCTTTTATTTCTTATTCCTTTTCATCTATCGTTACAAGATTCTTTAATTTTGTACATTCCATAAGATCTTTGAGACAGTATGTAGTATATAACTAGCACAACTTGAATAAGTCAGTGCTGAGGTATAGTCTGTAGAACAGATGAGCAACCCTGATTATTCCACTCTATCCTCTTTAACTACTGTTTTTAGCCATGAAGAGATTCAACTGAGTCATAATTTCCTGAAAGGTTTAGGCATGTGTAGTTCGTTCATCTTAAAATCATTGTAACCGTCCTTTGTTGGTTGCTCATATAGCAATTACAAAGTTACTATTTCTCAGTAACTTTTTTTTAAATACCCAGACACTGAAATAATTAAAGTGTAAACTGAATAGCGGATTTCTGGTTGTGAGCCACATGCCTCTTCATCATTATCTGTGCAACATTTCCTTTAACTGATTTTGTCTGTGACCACACATACACATATCCATATACAATGACTATGTGATGTTTGATAGCTTTTAACTCTTAAACAGGGCAGACAGATAAAAGCAAATTTCCTTTGTATTTTTGGACTCAGATCTTGTGTAATGTACCACATCACTACCTCCATTTTCTTTTATGGACAAAGTCAGTAAACATCTGCCTAAAGTGAGAAAATAATAAGCTGGACTAAGAAAAATCTTTGGATGAAAGATGTGAAGTATGATATATTCTCAAGGGTTGGAGAGGTCATCTCGCTGAGAAAAATTAGCTGATTAAATGAGATTTGTGCCAAGAAAATCTGAGTTATTTTTAAAGGAGTAACAATGGCTTTAAAATTTAAGTTACGGCTCTAATTATTTTATGTTATGAAGTACTTGGTGAAGCCTGAAAACTGATTGACTATTTCAGAACTTTTAGAAAAAGGGCAATCAATATACATGATTAACTCATTCAAGGTCTTCTGAGTATTTGGTATGTGCTACAGATCAACCCTTAGAGATCCCATCTTCTCTGCACAGTAGTCTTTCTAAACTGTCATGAACAGATGGATGGTTACTATTTTATGACTTACTGAACTAAAAAAGAAAGAGTCAAGGTGACTTCATTAAAGGTATGTTGTTCATTTATTCTGAATCTTATATTGATAGATAATACCAGAAGATTTCAGCATAGCAGATAAAATACAGCAAATCCTAACCAGCACAGGTTTTAGTGACAAGCGGGCCCGTTCCATGGACATAGATGACTTCATCAGGTAATTACATTTTGCTTTTCTTAAGTGTTTACATTTCTTTACTGTGACACCTTCAGATTAGAGATTTAAAGGCTTTTAAGCGGTATAAGGTGCTACCTGGGAGTTATTGCATAGCACTTCCATGGCATGGAATAGTATTTGGTGTAGATGGAGCTAGTTAGCTGCAGCAGAATGAACGTTTTCTTTAAGAACAGTAGTAAATAACAGTCCTAGCCTGGAGAAAGCCTGTGTCAGTGTGTTGTGGTGTGTGTGCTCCTCTTCAACCCCTCCCTCAACTCCCACTCATAGTCTTCAGTTTCTCTTCAGTTAAGTAGCCTGTAATGTAGAAGAATCGTACTACATGTAAATGGATCTTTTTTTTTCTTTATTGTGAATAGCTATTGTTAAATAGACCCTGAGCATGAAATAATGTCAGTTACAATCAGAACTGGTTATCATTTCTAACTGGTTTAGTAATATAGTTGCTTGTTTTGTAGACTGAGGCAAGTTCTACACATCTCAATTAAAGAAGGGTGTCATAATGTACACTGAAACTTGTTTCCCTTGAATTAAGCCAGAGGCCTTATGAAAGCACAGTAAAGCTTAAATTACCCAGGTATTAACTTGTACTGTTTTCAGTCACTAACTTTGATTTCCTAAGTAATAAACCATCACTTACTGCACAGAAGTTTTTGCCTCTTTAGCCAGTTCATTTTTAGTTTCCATATTCCAGGGGCTGAATAAAAAATGAGGGTAGATTGTTATAAAAGTCATTGATTTGACTTTTCTAAGTTGCAAACAGTTCAATATGAGACAAACAGGGTTTATATTTTACATTGGCAGGTTAGTCATACTACTGAGTCTTAATTAGATGGTAATCCTAGGAGCTGAACATTATTCATAAGCACCTATCTTACAATTTCAGATATTTCGGTCCATCTTGACCTGTTCCTATGGGCCAGTGTGGAAATAATCTCAGGTGTAAATGGAAATATTTCATCTTATTTTCCTTCATTCTCACCAAATTTCTTCAAGGCTACTATATTAAGCACATGCAGTTTGTTAACTAGGATCTGATTAAGTACTTGAACCTTGGTAACAGTGAGCTCAGAGGAAGAATGAACATACATTTAAGATTAGCTATTCATCTGTCTTCTGTCTCTAATCCAGATAGCTTCTTGTTCACTTACCATGCTGAAATGAAACAAGTGCCAATGAGCTCATAGGTCTGGGATGGTGAAGGTCTAAGATAGTTTTAGGGAAATTCATCCTAACTTAAGACATATAGATTATGACAAAAAGAGGTACCAAAAAGATGTGTTCTAACTAATGTATCTTAGAAATTTAGTTAAATAGTTTCTTTAATGACTAGTATTAGGAGTGGGTGGGCTTCATAGGTTTGCTGATGTGTTCATGTTTTAGATTTCATGATATAGAAACTATATGCACCGCTATGTGCTACAAATTAGCATTTTAATATCGTCTCATTTTGGTTTCTTTTTTCAGATTGCTACATGGATTCAATGCAGAAGGTATCCATTTTTCTTAGGTATCTGAAAAACATTTTTCAAGCTCAAGAACAGAAACTGGAATTATTTATTTTTAATAACTTGAGAAGATGAAGTATGCTTTTCCTCCACTGGGGCACTGCTTGACTATTTTTGATTTACTACTACTGTTGTCGTCACTTATTACTCTGAATTTTTAAGGTAGTTTTACAAGGAAGTCAATTTAAGTACCCAAGTATTTTTGGTTTGGTTTGTTTATACTAACCAACCTAGGGCAGGGTCCAATCTATACATAATCTTCAAGTTCAGGAGCCGCAGACACGCACAACTTTACACTTAAACTTATCATTTCTAACAGGTTATTGTATAAAGATGTTACTCTTCTATTTTCCATGTTGTATGTTACTGTAAGGACCTCTTTAGGCCTTTGTCCCTCAGGTGTAAAAAAGTTAAAATACGCTTAACTTAGTCACATGTTCCCATACCATTTCTTGTTACTGATGTGTATAGTAAAACAGTTGTTTAAAATGTTTTCTCTTATTCTGTTTATCTTATATAACTTCTTCATTGCCTACGTTAGCTATCCTGTCGCATCACAGGTTACGTCAGGGTTCTAGGTAAGCCTGAGTCTGCTACTGAGACCTTGTGGTGCCAGACAGACTACTTCCTTACCTTTGAAATGAGGATGCTCAACTAGAATGTGAAATTAATTACAAGAATGTATGTTTCCTCTTGGGGAGATAGTCATAGGTTTAACAATTTCAAAAGGTTTTATAAATAAAAACTGGCTTTAAAATTAAAATCTCTGTGACCTTCAACTTCAAAACAAAAAAAAAGTAATATTTTTTGTCTTTAATACAGGCTCCCAGTATTCATCTGACTTCTGGATAATTAAAATTTCCAGTACTTTTCATCTACCTGATGCTTAGTTTTAAGCTATTTTTAAAACATCAGGTTTAGAATTTCAATAGATGTCATAATTGTCTTAATCAGCAACTATGTTTAAATGATTATCAATATAATACTCAGTGCTAATGTCCTTTAATAAAGAATTATAATAGCTGATTATTTATGTAAGGAAATTAATAAAAATATCTTCATTGATATTGAGTTCCTTTATACCTAACTTAACAGAAAGAGTGTTTTCAAATTATTTTAAGAGGTACACTGAGTAAACCTAGAAAGGAAGATAAGTTGTTTACCTAAACATATTTTTTTTGAAATCTGGCTTTAAAGTGATATATTAAAACTTTCCTGTATTATTAAAATAATGTCTGTTCTTCATTAATAGGGGTGTCAGCTTTCAAGTCTGAGAAAGAATGTTTAATCCAGAGCCAAAAACTATTAAGTAGCTGCATCAAGACACTTTTGTTACATAAATATTAAATATACTTAACAGTGTTTTTTAAATATCACAAAACTGCTTACTTTGTGAAGTTCACCTGTACTGTCTCTATCCTTACAGGAACATTTTAATAAGATTTAATTCAGCTCTCTATATCCTTCTATTGCCTAGAAACTGCTGAGTTTTAGTCCCTTTCCAGCCTTCAGTTTTCCCTATCGGTAAATTGAAGGATTGGATTATACTATCAAGATCTTTTCTGGTACTGATTTTTTATATTCCTTGATTACTGATCAGAATGAAGACATTACAGGTTAAGGCAGCATATTTGGAAGTATAGGGACCTTCCAGAGACAGTACCCATCTACTGTAAATAATAAGACTAATCTGGTGTGCTTTAAAATGAGCAAGCTCACCTTTTTATTGTCCTTTGAAGGCTGGTTGGCCTCAAAAATCTTTTCGAAACAGCCTCTGCAAGGTCAATAGTAACAGTTCTCCATTCTTTCTCTTCTCTTTGAAATAAACACAAATAGAACATATCTTACAGCTGCAAGAAAACCTGAGTCCCTTCCAAAACAAAGGTAATTACAACAAAGAAAATTATTTCTAAACTCATTCCATAGATTGCATTTATTAATAAGCACATTGTGAAAATCTGCATTTGTTCTAGATTTCAAGTTTACAGAGGAGCATTTCACCATGATGTTAGGATTCCCCACAACTACCCTCTGAGTTCTCTGAACAGTGAAATAGGGAAACTGGCTCATGTGCCTCTCTATTCATAGCTTCCCTTTGACTCATGTGAATGAGCTAGCAGTTCTCTAGAGTAAATCAACACAAGATATCCTTGGGAGATTTGTTGTTGTCGTTAATCTACTCCTGGACTCATCTAGGAACAGAGGGAAAACTCCTAGAGAGAGATACTATATAAATCTTTTAACAAAATATTTACATGAGAAGTGGCCAGTTTTCTTCCTTGGAGTAGCAATCTGTAAAAATAAGTGCCACCATTTAAAAAGTAGCATATACCCTACACCAATTTTTGGTGAGAATTTGGTGATTCTCATCAAATAAAATGGTGAAACATCGCATGTTAGGTAATGGATGGAGCTTGGGTTACATCTGCCTTTTAAGGCAAAGTCATCTATTTTTTAGCTTAATTATTTTTCAAGGGAATTACGTACTGTCTACACTTGGCTTAAACTAACATTTCTATTATGGACTACTTTCAATGTACATGTAAATGTTCATGCATCAGAAGCCAGTTTCCTTTAACAGTACATTTAAAGGTACATTTTGGGGTGCTAATGGACACTTGAACTTAAGTAATGGTACTGGTAAGGATCAAATTGCACTATTAGTCTTGTTAATACCACACTGAAACACACTGCATATATATGTATCATCCTAAGATAAAACTCTTCTCAGAATTTCATTACTTTTTATTATACACCAACTAGTTTATATTTTAGTTCTTTACAAAGAAAATGCTAAGGAAATTATATCCACATGTTATATGGTTTCAAATCATAATTCCAGATTTCTTTACATAGAAGATGGAGTGGTCCAGCAGCTATGTCCACTGTCACAGACTTGAGTTCCATTCAATGATATGGCACATCCTGCAAAATTAACTAGTCACACACAAAAAATGTCTCAAATACAGTAAAAATGTACACACAATAAAGGTAATTTACAATGACAAATAAGGAATGTAATTCATCTTGGCTGTGCTTCAGAAATTTAGGGTCAATAGCCTTCGTCAAGGCACAAAGCAAGAGAAGGTGAGCACAGCTGTCTCTAGGAGTGGGCAAGGTATGTACAGTCACTGATGAGGTATGCATGCACGCAAAGGATTTAAAACTGCTCAGTCTTGCTACGAAAATTGAAACAAGTTAAAAGGAAATGCTGTGGCTTCCCCCCTACTATTCACCTCTGGATCAAGTCCACAATCTTACTTCATCATACAGAAAATAAAATTGGCAAAGATCTCCAAAAGTAAATCACTATTTGGGTAAATGAAACAAAATGCTTCACTATTCCCAAATCTTGGTTGTGCCTCCTGGACTAGAAGCATTTTGTAGACAAAGTTATGTTTCACAAAATTGAAATGTCATTCAGGTGAAGGGACAAGACATTTTCCACAGACACTTAAAACTTCCAACTTTCAAATGGCCCTTACAGCTGAACCATCGTATGTTACAGCAGTGAGGGTTCTGGGGATCCTTTAGCAGCAGATGACAATTTAAAGGGCACGGGGTCTCTTCGGGTTGATTTGCTTGCTGGCCTGTTCTTCTTCTTGTAGAGCTGCACGAAAAGATTTCACTTTATCTTGGAAAAAAAAAGAATAAGGGAATAAGTATTGCATTGTATGTAATACAAAATACAATTTTATGGGTCCTATCAAGTCAGCTCTCATTTTAAAACATTAATTCAAAGAGTTTTCCTTTCCTTCTTTCTTGTCCAGAAACTCAGAACTAAGTACAAACAATGCTCAACTATAACAGTTTCATTACTGACTTCTGGAAATACGTGCTTTTTTTTCTATGTTCAACAGGTTTCTGTTTTTGACACATTTTACAGTGTTTATTTGCATTTCTTCTGGAGAATAGACAGGCTATATGTGTGTGTAAAATATGTACAGTCATGTCCAAAAGGAACACTGAATCTTATTAAACTGTTAAACAGACATTTCTTCTCTCAGTATTAGGACATTTCTACTTCCAATTCCCGTTTTACCTTTTTAAGCTATGAAACTTAAAAAGATATTTAAATTTTAAAAAAGAAATATCATTTTTCCTTATTAGAGACTGTAAAAGGTGTTGGAGGAGGGGATTACAGGATAATGCATTTCTTGGTCTACAAATCTCTTACTGTCTATCAGTACTGATTCGGAGTAACTTAATAAAAAATAGGTAAATAAATTGGCAAAGGCATGTAACAGCTGTGAAGATAATAAATCCTTTTATAACAGTGGTTTTCAACCAGTATGATTTCTGTCCCCACCCCGGGACATTTTATAATGTCTGCAGACATTTGATTTGTCACAACTGAGGAGGTGATGCTGTCATTTGATCAGTGGAGACCAAGGATGCAATTCACAGGACAGCACCCCTCAACAAAGAATTACCCAACGTAAAACGTCTTTAGAAGAGAAAAAAGATATAAAGCTGAAACCTTCAATTTCTTTCCCCTCTTCAGAAGTACAATGATGTTTAAAAAGTTTACTTTTCTGAAATTTAGAAAGGAATTTAATGACTTCTGTATCTGGTGGCTACTAATATAATAGCTCTCAAACTTCTTAATATCAAAATTATCTCTGGATAGTAAAACAATTTTTTTCTAAGGACTGAATACATAGCTACATAGTAATTTCTTAAAAGTTATGACTATGCTTGACATACAGACATCGTGAGAAAATTAAGGAAAGGAAGTCAACTGAACGCTACATAATCTGTTTTCTGAATAAAATGCATATGGAAAAGTTGCTTGTGAGTTATGGAAGATTAGAAAAATGATCAAAACACTAAAGGCTTGAAAATAATATGAAAAACAAAAATAAATTTTAGAAACCCTACATCTGCACAAACAATTCTGAAATTGAGGAAGAGTCACTGCTGACTCTAGGATATTGATTTTAAATAACCAACTTCAAAAAGGAGCTAGTTTAAAAAATTAAGCAGCTTGTTTGGTGCTAAAAACTAGCAATTTCAATCTGATTTCATGCTATATTGCATGTACACACACAGATGCCCACTTGCATATAAAAGGGGACCACCAATTTGTCAATGCCTAAGAAACTAGCACATACAATACATGCATATCTGAAGATGCACAGATAAGCTAATTAAAAAGCCAAGACATGACGTGGGTAAGCCACATAACTTCTCTTCCCTCAAGCAAAAGAAAAAGGGTAGTTGTCTTGAAACCTTCCCCTTGTTTTTTTAAAACAAATGTTCAAAAGGAAAACATGACATAAGATGCACAGAAAGAAGATACAGACGGGGTTATTAAAAAGATGACCTTGAATAGATGTAATCCAAGGAGAATAATTCTGAAAAGCATCAGCCTACCAAACTAAAAATATGAATGGGTATAGAAAATCTACGAATTTGTTAAAATATATTTTCTCTCTATAATCATGATATCTTCTCAAAAGACAAAAGATAATTAGCGAGCACCTGAAATGATACTCGTGTTTCTGTTTTAGCAATACCAGAATGGTTGGTTTGTCTATATACTTCTAAAAAGAAGTTAAACGGTGCCCATACTCAGGTGTCCTCTTGCAATATGAAATCCTCCCACTAGTTACATACAAATATTAAGCAGATTTCAAACACTAAAATGAAAAAAGAATTACCCCGCAGCTCAGTTAAAATGTCTATTTTTTGCTCCAGAATAGCTTCAAGTTGCGTAGCATAGGAATCTACATCATAGTCTACTTCTTCAGTCATCTCTAGGAGAGCCTTTTCATCTTCTAGCCATCGAATAGATTCCTAAAAGGATAAAAGTTAAAGAATCCAATAAGCCTCCTTGTAAGAAAGAAACCAATTTATAAATTTCATGTACATTAAATATCAACCACACTCAAATGATATTCTCTAAAATATTAACGATCATAAAAAATCTTTATTTACACAGTAAAATTAAGAAATATTTCCTAAATTCAAGCACAAACATAATTATAACAAGCCAAGGAAGATGACTTCATTTTTCTTTTACTCTACCTTGGGTGAAGGGTTTGGGGGGAGAGAAGTGAATC